TGGATGTGAACGATAGTACAATATTCCAGAGTCGGTCGTACTATTGTCTTGAAGGACTCAAGTCGTGCTTCAGGTAGGGAGAAAGTTCTAGTCATGTATCCGCATAACTGCCTTGTTTTCGCAACCTGATAAAGCACATGTTCGGAGAAATTGAAGAAATTGGAGTATCTAATTCCTAAGTCCCGAACTGAATCAAATGTTGGGATCATGTTTCCGGCAAATGTGATAGAGCCTTCTAGGATGCGGCATCTGTACCCAAGTACTTGGGATTTCACTGCGGAGAACTTTATTACTAAACCCTCACTAGCTATATTTAGTGCGGATGGGTCTTCACAGATGTTTCCTAAACATATATTAGTTGGTTTGGATGAAATGAGTAAGCCAGTTTGATGTCATCTGCAAACGGAAATGGGTGTCCATGTTTGATCGAGTCACATATATTGTTTACGTAGATTAGGAAAAGTAGTGGTCCGAGTACACTTCCCTGGAAGACGCCGTTGGTTATTTGTTTCGGTGTGGAATGTTGCTGACTGATTTTAACTACCTGAGTTCGACCGTTTAGATATGAGTCGAACCAGTTAGGCAGAGGATTTTCAATTCCATATGACTCTAAAGCAGACAGTAGTGGCTTGTGCGGCACGCGGTCCAACGCCTTTTGCATGTCCAGCAGAATTTTAATGATTGCCATTCCTCTGTCAGTAATAGTCGTGAGGTGATCGAGGGATTATAGCTGACAGGTAACGCAGGAGCGGTTTGAGAGAAAGCCATCTTGTGAGGGGTTGATCAGATCCAGTCTTGTAAGATACTGAACGATATTCTTCTTGACTATTCGCTCTAGGGCTTTGGAAGAAGCAGAAGTATGGTTTATTGGGCGGTAGTTTGATACTTTATTTCTCGAGCCACCTTTGTTCTTGGGCATTACAATGGATTGCTTCCATTGAGCCGGAAAGCAGCCGGTAGTAAGTGAAAGTGTGCAGATGTTTAATAACAATAGAACGAGGTTTTTTCCTCCGAGTTTTATACCATTTAGGGAGATGCCATCTGGACCTGGAGGAGTTGATGGTTTTATGGCCGCGATGGCACTTTGCACCTCTCTTAACGTCACAGCGATATTGCAGTATACTACGGTCGTTCTTTTTGGAAATGGAGGATGAAATGGCTGAGTGTTAGGGACGAAACAGGAGGCAAAACTAGAGTTGATAACCTCGCATATACAGGAGATGTCGCACGTTATTGAACCACCGTCTAGAGCCAACGTTTCAATTTCCTGAAGTGGTTTAGGATTCCTTCTTTTGAGTAGTTGCATCAATGTACGTACTTTCTCAGGATTTCTGAGTATCCGACTTTCTTCTTTGACTTCGGCCGTTTGGGTTAGACGTTGTAAATGTAGTAAATTCTCGTGTATTTGTAGCAATGTTGCGAAGCTGTTGCGCCTGTGATGTAGCGATCTGCGTTTCTTTAGTTTAATTTTGGCTTTGTACAACAGCTTGAGTTTACCACTATTTTCATGGGTATTTCTCCATACAGCAGGTGCCAGTAGATTCAAAAACAAGGGCAATATAGTTCATAAACTCATTTGTAGCCACAGTAGGGTTGTGAGTTAGGAATGACGTATTCCAATGCATGGTACTGATAAATTCGTTAAATGAGTTCCAGTCCACATGATGGAGGTTGCGAATGGGTTTTAGCATTTTACTTGGTCGTTTAGTTGAATCTATAGTCATATCACAAAGCATTGTTTTGTGATCACAGCCAGGTATAAGCGTAAGCGATTCCCATCGTGATTACAAGGTCTAAGGTAGTGGCATTTCTGGTTGGCTCTCTCACATGCTGGGTCCAGCCATTGAGGTGAATACGTGAGATGATTTCCTCAATCTCCGCAGTGTTTCTGAGTGTAGGCAGCATCCAGTTAATATGTGGTAGGTTGAAATCTCTACACATAGTTTTGGATTTGTATGTGGTGCTGGAAGCAGCATTGATCATATCGATTAGCTTTTGGGTCTCACATTGAGTAGTTCGGGGTGGCCGATAGATATAACCCACTAGAAGATCAGTAGATGGGATCACTAGCCACAATGTATCCTCTAAGCCATTGAACACAGGTTGATCTGCGGGAATTGCAGTGAGGGTATTTAGAAGCTATATGGCACAGCCACCACCACGTTTGTGTGAGAGATCCTTGCTGAAATGCCTATGGCCTAAGATGTTAAGCTGAGAATCACTAATTTCTTACTGCACTAAGTTTCACTGATAAAAGCAATATCCGGGGATCTCATACACATAGGTGTTAAAATTAGATCTAATCTGGGTAAAAGGGGACGAATGTTAATGACGACAGCATTGAAATACATTGTTAACATGGAATGAAAGTGGTGGGTAATGTTTGTTTCATCGTCATTGTATCTGAGAACTGTGTGTTGTGAGGTAGCTGAGGCACACTGAGCTCTAGATCGTACTGGATTGAATGCAGTACATACTCCACTAGTTTGATTATTCTCTGATTCATAATCGCACATGATAGGGGCTGGATTGGTGGGGGAGGAGGTGGTGGTGTATGATAGTCTAAAAAAGGACTTACATCCGTAGTATACAGGGGTGGGGGGATGCTGAAGTCCTCAAGCCCATTTTTCTTTGGATTTTATTGTTGCTGACTGAGTAATACAGGGGGTGATGGTAGGTGAATTTTGGCTTCAGGTAGATAGGGGTTGCACCTTCTTATCTGTAGGTCCGTGTGGCCTACCACCATTTTGTTTCTCATTTCGGTGTCGCACACATAAGCGCTTTGCCAGCTTGATGTCGCGGGATTTGCAAACGTAGTCAGAGACATTGTGGGTAAGTATTGGGTCGGCTCTCTTTGACTTATTCCGACAACAGTGTTGGTGTTGCATGTAGAAACTTGAGGACGTACACTTTTTCTCAGTTGGCCTAGCTGCGTATCTCTACGTTCTTGTGGTGGTCGCTTCAGACCTAATGAGCTTTGTGTGTTTATAGGAGAAAATTCTGGCAGAATGTTTTCACCTGTTTTTGCCTACGCCTCGGTTGGTCGGAGATAACCTATAGCTTACTTCATTCAGGTCGGATTTAGATTTGTTTTTCGTGCTGCCAACGTTACGATCTGAATTTTTGTCTCGCTCTTGATAGGTCTCAGGTACCGTTACTGTCAACTTTTGTAAAGACTCGCGACTTGGAGAAGGGACAAAGGAGTTGAGTGTGTGGTCAGCAGGTGTCCGCGCAACCCTCACCAGTAGCGCGTTCGTTAAGTGTACTGTGAGAGTCGTCCGGTCCTCTACGTAGGCTCGAACTTGCGGCTTTATGACTACAAGAATGCTTGTAATCATTAAGGCCCCGGGACAGTTAGGACACAAAAGCGGTCACTCAGGACTCTCCAGCGGTCGTTCCGGCACACACTAATTGCTCATTTGTGCTATGCGAGTTCGTACTTTGATCTTGTGCTGAGGATGCTTCTTACTTCCGCCGATATTTTGTCACAACCATTCATTCCGCTGCACAATCTTGGGAAACCTTAGCATGCTTTTCATCTTACCAATTTGTCACCGTATCGGGTTAATGGAATGTTGACGTAAAAATTGTTGGATATTGCAATGTCTGTTTTAAGTCATTAAATTCTGGTTAAGCCATATACTTAATATTAAACCCGAAAACAAATCAGGATACATAACCCACAAGTAAGTTCGCCATATGTGGTTCACTTGTGCTGCACTATTATCGGCTGTTTCACTGAGAATATGAAGCAGTAACGGACGAAAGCCGACAGATTGCTGCAAATGCTCTAGCAGTCGTGTGGAATATCATTTATTATTAAAAAACCTGTCCTTTTAAGAAGTTGAATGTAGCAGCCTAATATCATATCGCTCAAAGTAAACTAGTTGCTGTAAGCTAATTGATTATATCTTCTGTATACTGTTCTGTTTAGATCAACTTGAGTAGTCTGTAATATCACTGTGAGATCATTGAGTTATTTGCCAACGACAGGTTTTCTATCAGAAATTAACGCCTACATACAACTAAAGCTTTGTAATGACAGTGTAGTTGAAGATGCTAGTTTTAACCTGCGAGTGCAAAGGATATGCTTGTACAAAATAGACTCAGCAACGCCGGTTAGTGTACGACCTAGTTAAAGGGACTTCGGCCGCCGATGCCAAAAGCTAATGCTGAATAATATCAGCAATACACCGGCACTCATACAATTGCTTGGCTTCGATTAAGCCACCGGTGTTATCATCAGTATGATAACTCTTAGCTCCGAAGAAATCCGGAATAAACTTTACTTAATGTAATGAATAGAGGACTTGATGCAAGGAAAAATTTTCAAGAGGTCATTTTGTTCACTTTCATGAACTCTGGAAACAATCCCTCTGACGGAGAGGTATCAGCCGTCATCCCTGCATCACAAAATGTCTGCGAACCCCATGTTGACGTTCTCAGATTATTAATTATAGATTGTTATTATTCCTACCTCAATCGTACGCAGGAGATTATGAAGGGTTATTTGTAATAGATGCAGTGGAACAGTTGGAATCCAGCTTGACTTCCCTTCCCATCAGTGGCTGCATTTACATCGTTCTTGCTTTTTGTTAGTTAAATAAGCATGTGTTTTTAAACTTAAGTACAAGCATAACATAAATGCGATTATCCGAATCACATTGTTTTAAGTGCGCCTCTCACCAATATCAGTTAAATAAATTTATGAATGAATCAGTATATTGAAACGCTATTTTAATGCTAAAGTATCTTGGAACTTAAAAGGCACGTACACACAGCATGTGATCATTTCTAATCTTTAGTTGCAAACATATTATTTTGAGCCAGACTAGAATATTCATATTGGATAAGCGTTGTCTCTTAACGTTTTGGAGGTAGTGCCACATTCAAGTAGCATGTTTAGTCAGCTGACTCTTTTCTACCTTTTCCGTGACGATTACAACTGTCTAAGTTACTAAATCAATCAACTCGTATGCAGCTGTTTTCCTTTTCAATAGCCAAATCAGTTCCAGCTTCGGAAAATCTGGCTGATCCTGGAGCTTTTGATTCCACAGAGATTGAGGAAATCGCTCACCTTACTGATCTTGATGAATATCTAGAACTACTGTATGAGGACATCCCTGATAAGCTTCGTGCATCTGCGCTTGTGTTGCAACTGGCTCGTAACCCAGACAACCTGGAGGAATTGTTTCAAAACGGTGAGTTGGTATACATGTAGTTAATTTATGTATCCAAATTACCTGCTTCTACTAATCAATAGGTTTCTTTTATATCACAGGGCAAGCATATTACTTTCATGCAAGCGCTTACTAAACTAATGGTTACATATTTGATATTTTAAGAGAACCATTAACTGGATCTAGTTCATCTTCACCAACTTTTAGACGGAAAGTAACAGTTGATGGTAAGTGAGATGTATTTCGTCACAGTTCGGCGGAACCATAGAGATACTGATAATCCGAGAGTACGAGAAACGAACACCTTGTCTCACTGAGCAATTGTGCTTCTTGGGATCAATCTGTTGTGACCTGGATATTCCCCCGTATGACTGTGTAAACTACCCTAAAATATATTAAAATTATAGCTTTCTTATGTATTAGGGAATTAGGCGGTTTGCCTGTTAGAACGTTGTTCCCCTTTGTTTTGAAGCACGAACACGATATCCGCCTTTGGCGCGCGACTCAACTGCGCACGACGCTACGTCCACGCACTCGACGCCCAACTACATCCTCCCAAGCTAGCTCTCTTCTGTTGCCCTATTTTTAGCATTAGCTAACTCTCCTGCAGTCCAATAAACTTTTTCCCTAGCTTACTTTTGATGTGTCCTACCCACTGCTTTTGGTTGGCCCTTTAGTTTCGTACCGAATATATAGCGCACGACCATCGCCCTATAAACCCTTTGCTCTGCACGAGGGAAAGCTTTACGATGTTAATGGACAAATCGCGCCGTTGCACATCCTATAATTTAAATGAAGCTGTCTTCCGTCGTCATATTGTAGAGGGGCCGCTTCCAAGAATGGCTCTGGGGTGCTCTTCGGAGCTAGCTGAGAGCGAATCGCGAAAGACGGCTAGCGACGAGCCTGGGCCCGGAACTACGGAGCGGGAATATGTGGACAGCGCAATAAATCAGACAAATACGCCGCTAGCGCAGACCACAGGACCGAGGCCGAGCCGATTGACACAGCCCAGAACAAGCAAGTCGAGAGCTCTCGAACGACTCCTGGCCGATCCAAATCGGGTGCAGAGAAGCGGAGATCGAGGCGAAAACAGGAAGGCGGGACTTCCAAGTCAGAGCTCCCGAGGCGAAAGGACTGGCTCGCCTCTAACATCCGTACCTGTGTTGCGTGGTGGGACGGAAATCTAGTCGATATGTGCGATGGCGCGCGTGAGACCCGGGTGTGCCCATTTTCGGTGTGCAATAAACGTCTACCCCCCTGTCTTGTCGTTCTCGCTACACTGGTGCCGTGACCAATCGCGATGGAGTTGACCCGGTTGGAGCAATTTGCGGCCGGTGACGTGGAGGCGTGGCTCGATGAGTTCGACGGAATTGCGGCTTGCACGGGTGTGAGGGGGGTGCAAATTTGCTAATTGCTTTGGGCACACGGTTGAGTGGACGAGCCAAGGCGGTGTATCTGCTCACTCGAAAGGCCAAACCCGGTTGTTCGTTCGCTGAGATGAGGGCTGCCTTGTGTGCAGAATTTGGGAAGGATCTGGAGAGAGAACGAGCACTGCAACGATTTCACGCAGCCAGATGGGACGAACAGGAGGATTTGATGGTGTTTTTCCAGCAGCTGGACAGACATCTAACGATTGGGCTCCCCGAGTTAGAGGGTAACGCAAGAGAGCGCCTACTGAAACAGCAGTTTATCCGAAGTCTGCCCGGTCCACTCCATGATCAGGTGAAATTGGCGTCGATGGTGGGAGACAGCACAGCGTTGGATCTGGTGACGGTCGCCCAGAATTTGTCGGAACGAGTGACAGTGAGAAGCATCCAGCATGCTGAGTTGGAACAGAAAGTAAATCGCCTATCCGAAATGGTGGAGCAGCTGTTGTCGATAGAGTCTTCAAGCACCACTTCACAACGCAATGTACGGGTAATCCGGAACGGTCGCCGCTGTTTCCGATGCAACCAGAATGGTCATGTGGCGAGATTCTGCACCAACGTCAATGTGCCCCATTGTTTCTCTCTATCCATGCCGAGTCGGTGGCGAGTACCAGTCCTCCAGGTAACTATAGAAGGGGTGTCTGTCCGAGCCATAGTAGACACAGGAGCGGCAGTGTCAATTACGAAGAGGGTCAATGGGGTTCCAGTAAACCCATCTTCAATCACGATGCAGACGGTCGGCGAGCATTCTTTGAAAGTGACGGGCACGCAGCGGTTACGAATCAGGATAGGAGAAACGCTCATCAGCCATGACATGTTCATCGTGGAGGAGACGACCGAAACCATCATCGGAACCGACATCCTGAAACGGCTCGGTGTCACAATTGACCTGAAAAACGATGTGGTGATTGTGGCTAACGAGACGATCGAGATAAACAAGGGGAGAACCGACCGGGTTGGTGCCCTCAAAGCCGTGCCTGATTGTCAGAACCGTGCAATACGCAACGTACTGAGCAGGTATGCCCACTTATTCACAGACGCGGAAGATGATTACGGATTTTGCAATTGGGTTGAACACCGAATACCGTTGATCCCAGGAGGACAATGCAAGCCAATCTTCAGACGAATTCCACAGAACACCTTGGTTGAAGTACAGAAGCAGGTGACCGAGATGGAATCGAAAGGAATCATCAGGCGAACGCACAGCCCGTATTCATCACCCGTGCTATTGACGAAGAAGGCCGACGGAACCTATCGATTTTGCATCGATTTCAGAGAACTAAACAGGGTGACTGTGAAGGATGCATTCCCGATGCCTCAGATGGAAGAAATTTTCTCAAGCCTTCACAGTGCGAAGCAGATATCTCTGATTGATCTCCGCTCGGGATATTGGCAACTGCCGCTCGCAGAAGAAGATCGCCACAAGACGGCGTTCAGTGTCAATGGCCAGCAGTATGAGTTTTTGAGAATGCCGTTTGGATTGTGCAACGCCCCAGCTACATTCAGGCGTTTGTTGCTGATGGTCCTGGCGAACCTGCAAGGCGTGGTTGTTTATGGTGATGACATCATCATCTTCTCTGAGACGGAACAGGAACATGTGACCAGACTTGGAGCAGTACTGCAGAGACTGGACGAAGCTGGTCTGAAACTCAGTCGTAAAAAGTCGCAGATTGGCCAAAAGTCAATTGTATGCTTGGGTCACATCGTGGGCAATGGTCAAGTCCATCCACTTCCGGAGAAACGCGAGACAATCGAGTGCTTCGCAAAACCAAAATCCAAGCGTCAGCTCCGTTCGTTCTTGGGAGTGGTGGCATATGATTCAAAGTTTGTGCCCCAGTTCGCAGAGAAGGGCAGCCCGTTGTTAAAGCTGCTTCGCAAGGACGTGCCGTTCGTGTGGACAGCTGAAGCGGATCAAGCCTTTGACCATCTAAAGGCATGCATAGCAGAAGCCCCGACATGTCTACGGCTACCCAATCCTGGTGAGAGGTTCACTGTGGCTGTCGACGCAAGCAACGTGGCAATCGGTGCGGTTTTGTCTCAACCAGCTGGGGTGGTGGAGTACGCGAGCAGAGTGCTGACGGGGGGCGGAACAGAAGTATTCAACAACGGAGAAAGAATGCTTGGCCATCGTGTGGGCGTTAGAGAAGTGGAGAAATTACTTACTGGCGAATGAATTCCGGGTCGTCACTGACCACAAACCGCTCTCGTGGTTGATGACGGCGAAAGACCCGCGGGGACGGCTTGCGCGATGGGCCTACCGATTGCAGGAATTCAACTTCATCATTGAGCACGTGGATGGGACGCAGAATGTATTGCCAGATATGTTGTCACGCCCGTGTTTGGACGACACCATGCCCGACAATGCCATACCGGTGCGTGCGTTCGCGATGGGGGAGAGGAACCTGCTGGGAGATCAAAGGACAGATGAATTCGTGAATGTGTTGTGCTCTCACTTACGGGCTGGCACCAAACCGGAGGCTACATCGGAGGAGGTGGAGGAACTCCTCAAGATCTGGGACAGGTTGAAAGTCGAAAACGATAACGTGGTGGGAGCGATAGACGGACGGAAAGTGCCTTTTGTTCCACCAAATCAGCGAGAACGTGTGATGCGCATAACTCATGATGGCGCCCATATGGGATTCGAGCGGGTCTTTGAATTGCTGCGGAGGCGAGTGTTTTGGCCAACCATGAGGAAGGACGTCGCGGCATACATTCGGGGGTGCCCAAACTGCCAAACGAGTCGGGAAATGGAGTCCCCGAGACCGCCGATGCGATCGATGGAGGTTGGTGAGCCACTTCAGTGTTGGGGACTGGACGTCTTTGGGCCCTTACCAGTGAGTCGAACAGGAAACAGATACATTCTAGTGATGATTGACCACTTCACTCGATGGGTGGAAGCCATACCAATCAAGGACCAAACAGGCGAGACAGTGTCGCAAGTATTCGATTTCAATGTGTCTGCAAGGTATGGGATCCCACAGTGTATCATCACGGACCAAGGGCCCTGCTTCGAGTCAAGAGCGTTTAAGTCAGTGTTGGACAAGTGGGGCATCCAGAGACGGCGAAATTCACCGTACCACCCACAAACCAACGGGATGACCGAGCGGTTCAACCGGACATTGAAGACGTGGATAAACTGCACGAACTTGGCATGGGAAGATGCTTTGCCTCAGGTTCTGATCGCGTATCGGACCAGCATGCAATCAACCACCAAGGTCTCGCCATTCGAATTAGTGTTCGGCAGAGAACCACGGATTGCGCTCGATACTTGCCTACCAAACCAGGGTGAGTGGAAACATCCAGCTGAGCATCAAGAGCGACTGCGATGGAAAGCTAGAAGCGAAACCAAAGCTCGACAAGCGCGGAATAAGCGAAATTACGACGCCAGGCATGAGGCTCACAAGTGGAGGCCATTCAGCATTGGAGAACGGGTCAAGTTACGGAACAACGATCGGCCGGATCATGACGGGCCGGGCGCAAGCAAGTTCAGAGAACGCCATTATCGACCAGAAAGCGGGCAACTTCTTAATCGACTGCGGAGGAATGAAACGTTGGGTGAATGCTGCTCTCCTGCGACCATGGTACGAGAGGAAG